GAAAGGCCGCGGGTTCGAGACCCGGTCGGGGACGCAACGCGAGGCGGGGGGGGGAATGACACAGGGCGCGGTGGCCATTGTCACCTCGGGGAAGCCACCACAGGACCCAAACCTTTCCTCCCCCGGATTTCCGAGCCAGGCACGTGGCGGATGGCTAAGCCTGGCAGCACGAGTCACCGTGACAGCTTTCCGGGGTGCGACACACCAGCGAGGTATTTCCCGGTGCCTCAGTTTACCCAACCGGATGAGGGAAGGCACTCGTCAGCGCCCCGGGGGTGACAGCAGGGTGCGTGACGATGGTGCTTATGGGTGTCTCTCAAACTGGCGGGGCTCTGGTGTGGCACCTCCACACCCGGGGGCGGACATCCCGCATTCCTGACCCCCGGCATCACCCCAAAAATTTGCCCCGACGCTTCCTCCCCACACAGGGAAGAGATGCAGCTGGGGAACCCCCAAAAGTCTGAGAAAAGGGGGAACTTCACCCCACAAGCGTGTGCGTTGGGGGTAATTTCCTCCATTTAATGCCCCAATGCACCCCCAGCCCCAAATTTGGCACCCGAGGGGGGGGTCAGATCCACAGTGGGCTACCCTGGGAGGAATTTGGGGAACAGGGTTATATTTCAGCAGAGCACTGGGAGAGGTTGGGATAGAGGTTCCCCCATTTTCCTAACCCTTGATGTTCCCTGACTGGAGCAACTAGGAGAACAGGAAGGGGAAAATTGGTATTTCCTCTTAATTTCTTTAAATCCTTGTCTTTCATCTGTGTAACACTACAGTTTCACAATGAGGATAATTTCAGGGTAATGGGGACTATGTCAGCATCCTGTTCCTTTTTGGGGTGCCTTAAGACCACTCTTACAGCACCCAGATCCTTGTACGTGGGTGTACATGGGATGTCGAGGGCCCTCTGAGTCCTCCTGGGCCTAAAAATTGGGGTGCATGGGCAGGGGTGGCAGCTGGCCTTGCCCACCCCAGCATGGGGTCGTCTTCCCCCCGCGCTGTGGGTGCACCCCATGGTTTGTGGGGTGGTTCCCTCATGGTGGCAGGGATGGGAAGGCAAAGGGGAGGGCAAAGAGGGTATCAGAAGTCATGGGGAATGGGGGACTGGGGGGGAGCCATGGAGAGCCAGAGGGATTTTGGGAAGGGGGAGAACTACAGGGACCCATAGCAAGCTTGAGGGGAGCTATAAGGGGTGGGGGGAGCTACTAGGGTTGAGGGCAGCCAGGGAAAATCAGGGGGAGCCCATATCCTGCCCTTGGCACTCCATGATCCCCAGGACTGAGCGTGCCCCATCTTCACCCCAAACTCCACAGGGGGCAACCATAAGTTTTAGGGTTCAGGGAGAGCAGGGATCAGCTCTGAGCAAGGCAAATGCTGTCTTCTTGGGCACAGAGCAGCCAGAAAATGCTCCAAAAGGGAAGGGTCAAGAGGAGATGCAGAAGACCGAGAACAGGGCCTCAGAAACAGAGGCAGGGGCTCAGAGGCAGCCCTTGTCCCCAAAGTGAGGGGTCCTTTGTTCCAAAAAAAGAAGGAGAATGACATTTCCCTGTGCCTTCACCCACATCCATGTGGCTGCAGCAGACCTGGCTGAGGAGGTCCCACTGTGCCTGGGTTGTTTGTGGAGTCTCCTTCTTTGGCTTCTCCCCTTTCCATGGAGGTGTCTCTTCCCAGCACCCAGCCACATGGTCCCGAGTTTGGGAAGCCCTAACCCGCCTCCTTCCAGGGTTTTGGCTGCATCCCAGCCTCCCCTGTACTCTGACCCAGGTGATTTATCAGTCCTCAACCAAATCTGTTTCAGGCAGCTGATTGCTGGGGCAGGCACTGGTGGAAACGGGGATATGAGGCTGTGGGCATCACTGTGCGTATGGAGGCTGAGGCCGTAGCAAAGAGCCCACATCAGGCAGGGGATTCAACAAAACAAGGAGTGGGAACAGGAGAGGGAGGCAGCTGGACACACTGATCCCAAAAGGATGAGTATTCTCCAATGAAATGGGAGCGATGCAGCGGGTCCAGAGCTCATCCCAGTCTGGGAAGAAACACAGCACCAGCAGCAAGGACAAAAAAACAAACCAAAAACAAACCAAAACTGAAATGTTTATTCCCACCTGGCATCGCTTCCCTGTGCCGCTGGTGGTGGGTCACAGCTGGACAAGACAGTCACCCCGTGAGGTGACTGTGTCCCTTCGTTCGCTCCAAATGCCCACGGCACGGCACGGCTCCGGACGGGGCTGTCAAAGCCCTGGGAGCCAAGGGCTACAGCAGCAATTTCTGAAGGCAGGGGGCTTCAAGGAAGGCAGTCAGGGAGGAAGGGGGGTCCCAGCAGCTGCTGGGGGCTGCGTTTGGCGCGAAGCCTCCTCAGCACCCCCTCCCCGGGGCACGGAGCTGCCGCAGGAGTGATTTGAAGCGGATCTCTGTCGGAACAATGTGATGCCCCACACTGTCAGCCAGGCAGCAGTTCCCAGAGGCAGAGGCTTCGTTCAGGAGGAATTCATGCTCTCCCACTGCCGGAAAATGCGGAACACCTTGGAGGACTTCACTGAGAGACTCTGCAAGAGCAAAGGGACAACCAGAGGTTAAGGCACCACAACAGCACTAAGGATTTGCCTAATAAAGCTTGTGAAGAGAAACTGCAGCAAAAAAACCCCATCTGAAATATCTTAATTGGCTGCCATGCCATCAATTTGCTCCTCTTCTTTGTTAACCCTCTTTATCAGAAGCAGAGGGGACTACAAGCAAGAAGCAGGATGGGACTCCATCTATCCCCTGCTCCAGCCAGGTCTTAGGCCTCTGATTTGTATCCGGTCCCACAGGACCTGCTGGGACCTTCCCAACACTTGGCACAGCCAGAAAGGGACTGATTTTTGGGGGACACAGCTCCCATGAGGTGACACAGGACTGCTCCACCAGTCCCTCTGCAGCTCAGCCCCAAGCAGGGCAGCGGGGAGCCAGCAGGAGGAATCCTCCAAAGCCGCTTGGGAAGCAGGGCTGTGGCCTCAGCTCTGCTCCTCTGGCTTGGCAAAGCCACTGGTCCAACAGCCTGGGGCCGGTGGCCATTGGATGTCTGCAAAAAAGGGTCAGGAGCTCTCTGTCGGGACATGAAACTGGATCTTGGGCAGCGCTGAGCCGCTCGGGAAAGGCTGTTATTTATAGCAGCCCTTGAGCAGATCTGCATGCAACACAGCATTGTAACAGATGAGACCTGGCCCAGAGGCTGTCACCGCAGCCAGAGGGGATGCTGAGACTCTGCAGACAGAATCCCAGAACGTTAGGGATTGGAAGGGACCTCAAAAGCTCATCCAGCCCAATCCCCCTGCCGGAGCAGGAACACCCAGATGAGGTTGCACAGGAAGGCGTCCAGGTGGGTTTTGAATGTCTGCAGAGAAGGAGACTCCACAACCTCTCTGGGCAGCCTGGGCCAGTGCTCTGGCACCCTCACTGAGAAGAAGTTTCTTCTCAAATTTAAGTGGAACCTCCTGTGTTCCAGTTTGTGTCCGTTACCCCTTGTCCTATCATTGTTTGTCACCGAGAAGAGCCTGGCTCCATCCTCGTGACACTCACCCTTTAAATATTTATAACCATGAATGAGGTCTCCCCTCAGTCTCCTCTTCTGCAAACTAAAGTGACCCAGCTCCCTCAGCCGCCCCTCATAAGGGAGATGCTCCACTCCCTCCATCATCTTTGTAGCCCTACGCTGGACTCTCTCCAGCAGTTCCTGTCCTTCTTGAACTGAGGGGCCCAGAACTGGACGCAATATTCCAGATGCGGTCTCACCAGGGCAGAGTAGAGGGGATACACGTGCCTGGTCCCTGCTGGGTTTACATTTAGCCCGAATGAAGCCCATCTACCCCAAATTCTGCCCACAGGCTTTCAGCCCTGGGCAAGGCTGGGGAGAGCAGCGTTTTGAGGGTGTGGGTTTGGGGCGGGAGATCTCGCAGGCTCACCACGGGCTCCGTCTCAGGCACTCTGTCGCACTTTCTGGTGGCGAGGAGCGTGTTCAGTACTACTCGCCAGCCCGGCTCTGCCTTCGCAGGCTCCTTTTCTGTCTGGGTTCCGGTATCCTCTGAGGCTTCCACTCCCTCCACTGCGTTGACCCATGGACACCAATCGCGATGCTGTGAGCTGGGGTCAAAGAAGCTCCTCAAAGAGGTGTCCTGCTTAGGGGAAGAGGTGACAATGAAGGACAGCAACAGCACGGTTTAAACCAGACTCCAATGACATGATAAAACCCTCCCCATGCCCAAACACCAGCCCTGAGCTGGCTATGGGGACAACACTGGCCCCTGCATGAGGAAAACCCTGCCTAGATCCTTCTACTCCCTACCCAGGCTTCTCCTGTGTCCACATTTGGGTGACTCACCGAGCTGCTGGAAGAGCAGAGCCGTGCCCGCTTGGCTCTGCGGAGAGGACTGGATGGCACCTCCATGCTGTCCCCCTGTACCATGCTGCGGGTGATGGGGCGGCTCCTCAGAGTGGGGCTGGCCACCTCCAGCTCAGCCCGGTCCGTGGGGGTGGGAGAATCCCAACCTCGTGGGCGAGGGACGGCCGGGGATGGGCTCTTCTCGTGCTACCAGTGAGGAAAGGACAAGGAATCAACAGAGCTCCTCTTGTCACCAGAATGTTCCCTGCCTGAAGTGGATGAGGGGCTCTGCCCAGCTCAAGTAAGAGGTCAAAGCCTTCTCAGCCAGCCTGGCATGAGCTGTGCCACCTTCCCTTCACACCAAGAGCATCTTAGATATGTTATTTGGGCAGGGGTGAAGGCAGCCCCCGATTTGGAGCACCCCAAGTTAGACAAGCCTGAGGATCCTGTCTGGGAAAGCCTGTTTTGTGCCTTCCTACAGGAAGGACAAGGGAAGGGAGGACAGAGCTGAGAACAGCAGGGGGAAAAGCAGCAGCAACTCCCTTCTGTTGGATGTTGCCTAAAGGTGGAGACATGGCACCAAATCATAAAATCTTTAAGGCTGGAAGAAACCTTTAAGATCATCCAGTCCAACACCAACCCAACCCCACCATGGCCACCAAACCATGGCCCCAAGTGCCACATCCACCACTTCTTGAACCCCTCCAGGGATGGGGACTCCACCACCTTCCTGGGCAGCCCCTGCCAGTGCTTGACCACTCTTGCAGTACAGAAATTTTTCCTCATATCCAACCTAACCCTCCCCTGATGCAATTTGAGGCCATTTCCCTTCTCCCATCACTGGTTACATGGAAGAAGAGACCAACACCCACCTCTCTACCCCCTCCTTTCAGGAGCTGTAGAAGTGATAAGGTCTCCCCTCAGCCTCCTCTTCTCCAAACTGAACACCCCCAGCTCCCTCAGCCTCTCCCCATCATTCGGGTGCTCCAGACCCCTCCCCAGCTCCATTGCTCTTCTCTGGCCACGCTCCAGCCCCTCAATGTCCTTCTGGGAGTGAGGGGCCCAAAACTGCACACAGGATTCAAGGTGCAGCCTCACCACTCTTGACTCCCATGTGCCCCAGTATCACCCAGACATCCTGAGCTCGTGGGGCAGCTGAGCTGGGCCATACCTGCTCGGAGCCTGGAGGGACCGTGTCCTGGCTACGCGTGAGCATCCTGCGCTGAGACACGGGCATGAGCAGGAAGCGCTCGGTGGGGGTCTGGGGAGCATTGCTCGGGCTGCAGGAATCCAGCTCCGGCCCTGCAGACTCCAGCTGGTGAAAGCCCCACAGTCCCACCTTCCTCATGCAGCGGGAGCAGCTGATCACTGAGAGGTGCACGGAGCCAGGCACAGAGCTGCAGGGACAGAGCCAAGTCATGAGAGGAGGTCAGGGACCAGACTGGGCCCTTCCCCAAAATCACAGCTTTCCGAACAGATGCAGGTATTTGGCAGAGCCCAGGAATGGTCTCAGTCACAGGTACATGAGCCAGCACGCTTCAAGACATCAGTACCACTCAGCTGAGGCACAGACTTACTGTTTTTGTAGCTCTACGTGCTAAGAATTAAAAGAAGTCCTTTAAAACCCATCTACAGCATTGATTTAAATTGGTTTGGTTACATTTTGGCTTGCCATAAAGCAAAAGCACACCCAGTTATGGTGGATCAGCCAAGAGTATCTGAACCCTCAGTCCCTGACCTGCCCAGCCACAGCAGCAGCTCTGCTCTTCCCTACCACAAGCCCTTTCTTTTCCAGCCTGAACTATAAGAGGTCACATCACCTTCAGCAATCTATTTCAGATTATGCAGCTTTGTATTGGGGTTTCTGGAAGTCTGTCAGCTAAAGATATTAATAAATATGATTTTAATGGCTGGAGTTACTAATAAAACAGTGAAATAGGGGATACTGAACATTTCACAGGAGGGATATCCACATTCCTCCAGCCTCTAACAGGTTTCACCAGCAACCATGAGGTGCAGCAGACACTTTAGTACCAGTCCTACACCATCACCCACCTGCAAGTCCAGCCACACAGAGCCAGGATGCAGGCAGGAACGTGCACTTGCAGGATTTCCGTGGCAAACTTCACCGGTGTTTTTTCTCCCTCTGTTTTGTGCTCTAGCTCCTCCCCGATGAGCTGGAGGAGCAGGCTGATCTTCTCCTCTGTCAGGGACTGCGGGACAGAGAAAAGCAGCAGAGTCTGATAAAATACAGTGCTTCTATTCAAAAACCACATCCTACCTGGAGAAAAATACATCCCTTGGCTCTTCTTATGCCTTCTTGGCTCTTCTTATGCCCTTGTGGCCAAGAAGGCCAATGCCATCCTGGGGTGTATCAGGAGGGGGGTGGTTGTAGGGCAGAGAGGTTCTCCTCCTCCTCTGCTCTGCCCTGGTGAGACCGCATCTGGAATATTGCATCCAGTTCTGGGCCCCTCAGTTCAAGAAGGACAGGAACTGCTGGAGAGAGTCCAGCGTAGGGCTACAAAGATGATGGAGGGAGTGGAGCATCTCCCTTCTGAGGAGCGGCTGAGGGAGCTGGGTCTCTTTAGTTTGCAGAAGAGGAGACTGAGGGGAGACCTCATTCATGTTTATAAATATTTCAAGGGTGAGTGTCACGAGGATGGAGCCAGGCTCTTCTCGGTGACAAACAATGATAGGACAAGGGGTAACGGACACAAACTGGAACACAGGAGGTTCCACTGAAATTGGAGAAGAAACTTCTTCTCAGTGAGGGTGACAGAGCACTGGCCCAGGCTGCCCAGAGAGGTTGTGGAGTCTCCTTCTCTGCAGACATTCAAAACCCGCCTGGACGCCTTCCTGTGTCACCTCATCTGGGTGTTCCTGCTCCGGCAGGGGGATTGGACTGGATGAGCTTTTGAGGTCCCTTCCAATCCCTAACGTTCTGTGATTCTCAGGGGGCTCCGATGGGTTTCATAGCTCAGCCGGCCCACGGTGGCAACCACAAAACCCCTCTGTGATTTCTGCTGAATGGATGAAGAGTTCCCCAGTTCCCATACGGTTTCTCACCGCCGAGAGCCATCTGTTTCCCGGCCAGCGAGTGCCCAACAAGCCAGACTTGGCTGAAGTACAGCAAAGCCTGGCCAGGTCCCTACGAGGTGGCAATCCCACACTTGCTCCTGGCTGCAGTTACGTTCCAGCCTCTTGTGTCATAGCTTCTGCTCTTCCCTCCTGTCCCCTGAGCCTCCTCGCACAAGAAGTCCCCCCATAACACACTCCCAGGGCTCCCTGACTTTTAGGGGCCTCTGGCACCCCAAACTCCTGATCCCACCTAACATAATGACCACCTCCAGTCCTTTGGGAACGCAGTTAAAGGAGAGATCCATGGGCATCTGCATCTCATGGAGTGTTTGGAGGTGACAAACAGGGGTAGGAGCTGCCAGGAAGAGCTCCCAGAGGAGTCTGTGGGATCTCAACTCACTTCTGACGGGCATCAAAGAGCATCACACACACTGGGAAAGGTGGAAACTGGACCCAACAGCCCACTTCCCAGCAGCAATGTCGTGGTGACACGAGCCAGCTGTGCCTGCATTGGTCAAGGGCTTGCACAACACATTTTGTGTTCAGTTTTGGGCTCCTCACTAAAGAAGGACATTGAGGGGCTGCAGCGTGGCCAGAGAAGGGCAATGGAGCTGGTGAAGGGGCTGGAGCACAAGAATTATGAGGAGCAACTGGGGATATTTAGTTTGGAGAAGAGGAGACTGAGGGGAGACCTTATCCCCTCTCCAACGGGGTTAGAGGTGAAAGGAGGGGGTAGAGAGGTGGGTGTTGGTCTCCTCTTCCATGTAACCAGTGACAACACAAGGGGAAATGGCCTCAAGTTGTGCCAGGGGAGGTTTAGATTGGATCTGAGGAAAAATTTCTGTACTGCAAGAGTGGTCAAGCACTGCAAGGGGCTGGCCAGGGAGGTGGTGGAGTCCCCATCCCTGGAGGGGTTCAAGAAGCGTCTGGATGTGGCACTTGGGGCCATGGTTTAGTGGCCATGGTGGGGTTGGGTTGATGGTTGGACTTGATGATCTTGGAGGTTTCTTCCAGCCTTAAAGATTTTATGATTTGGTGCCATGTCTCCAGCTTTAGGCAACATCCAACAGAAGGGAGTTGCTGCTGGTTTTCCCCCACCCTTTTCAGCTCTGTCCTCCCTTCCCTTGTCCTTCCTGTTGGAAGGCACAAAACAGGCTTTTCCAGACAGGATCCTCAGGCTTGTCTAACTTGGGGTGCTCCAAATCAGGGGCTGCCTTCACCCCTGCCCAAATAACATATTTAAGATGCTCTTGGTGTGAAGGGAAGGTGGCACAGCTCACGCCAGGATGGCTGAGAAGGCTTTGACCTCTTACTTGAGCTGGTTGAGGGTTGGGCTTGACAATCTTAGAGGTCTCTTCCAACCTTACTGATTCTGTGATATGAGCCTTTCCAAACTCCCTTTTATGTGTTTCCAAGTGGGGAACATCTGAGCAGAAAGCCAAGGCTAGCATAGACCACTCAGCAATGCAAGCAAGGCTGAGCTTTACCTACCTGGCAAGCTGGAGACTCCAGTTTGAATCCTGCAACCATTTTGGTTGGGGTTTGTACAGCACAGGCACGCCTGGCATCATCGCTGGGGGCTTGAACGCAGCTGAATTTTGGGGGTAGACAGGAACTCACCATGTTTTTCATATCCTCTGGTCTGAGGGAGGGCAGCTGCAGCTCCAGCTGACACAGGCTCTGAAAGCGCTCCAGGAAGTCCTGGAGAAGGGCTCTGGGCTCATCCACCAGCAACATGGCAAAGCGATCTGGTGAAAGCAAATACAGGTGACCTGAGCTGTGCCACCAGCCTTCCCATCCCTCTCCTTATCCCACAAGGCAAGATAAAGATGAGATCAGCCCCGTTCTCCCCATAATGGTCTCCTGGCTTTTAAAAGAAAAGCTGAGCACAGCCTTTTTCCTTTGCAACCACCCTTCCCCGTGCAGTTCAGCTCTGAAGATGAGATCTATCGCTCTTCGAGCATCCTATGTCATCCAGCCTCTCCTGGCCCCTCCCATTTACAACCCAAAACGCATTTTAACTGCCCTGGAGGCACACAAAGGTTAAGAAAGGATGGGAAAAGCCCAGCCTGGGGCTCCAGCCATGGCTCAGACGTTGCTTTGTCACTGTTTCACCATCCCCATAGCGAAAAACGAGGCTGTAATGCCACTGCCTGCATTGAGAACTGGGAGAGAAACCACAATTCCTGCAAAAAGAGACAAGTGCAGTGACAGAAAGGGAGAGAAAAGAGGGAATTATGCTGGATATGTGCATTAGCCAGGCTCTGAGACACCAACCTGGGCAGGGGCTGTCCGGCCAGAAGCAGAACTTCTCGTGAGCGGTGCACAAGGCCTTCTTCAGCTCCCCGCAGCGCTCCTTATCTGCAAGGCAAAGCTCAAACTACTCCCCTGCGGAGCCACCTCCTCGGGGAACGGTTGGGAAAACCAAACCAGGAGGGGAAGGCACCAAACTACGAGGACTGAGGTGCCAGATGCCTCCCCGAGGCTGTAAGTTGCAGAGCCTGAAGCTCTCACTTCAGACTCATCTCCCTCCCCACCGAAAGCTGCTGCTGCACCTCCAGCCTCCCTGCAGGCAACCACAGAGCAGTGGCTCCCGTGGCAGCAAAGGCAGGCTGGCTCAAGGGGTTATAACCACAACTGCAGCGGTTCCACCTTCCCGCAGCCAAAATCCAGCCCCGTTCCCAGGCACAGTGACCACGGAGCAGGGGAGGTTGCCACACTGCACTGGAAACACAGCTCGAACCAACCAAGCGCACAGGGACCGCCTGCTCTTGCCAGTTCGAGCTCCTGGGCTGCTGCCAGTCCCCTACATAACTCGCCTGACCCCTCCACCCCGGCTGCAGGAGCCAAATCACAGCCATGTCTGGAAATCAAGCTTCTCAAATAAAGATCTGATCCTTAATTTGGCTTATTCACACCTTTCAGGACCAAATAATTTCTTTTTCCATTTAGTTTTCGAGCTTTTCTTCCCACCTATGATTATTTGAGAGTTTTCTAAGCCAGTGTGACTACTAACAGAATAATTAGGCCAAGGTTTATTGAACAAAGATAATCTGAACAAACAGCGGGCATCAATACTGAGAGTGATCCAAAAGGAAATGCAGCTTTGCCATACGTCTGTGAGACACCGGAGCTGTGCTCTCTGCTCCCTCCCACATAACAAGGGCAGGGAGTTGCAGTCGAGAAAACTGAGAAGGGGAGATGATGTTTATTTGTGGTGGGGTAACAAGCGTTGTTCTTGCAGAGCAAATTTAGGTAAGTTTATGAAATTACACAATGTGACCACCTGAGTGGACTGATTTGGTGATGAACAGCCAAGAGCTCACATCAGAACAACTTAGTGAGGGATCAGGGTGGCAGACCAAGCAGTCAGGAAATAAATTTAAGGAGGATGTTGAAGTCACAGAATCGCTCGGTTGGAAAAGCCCTCTGAGATCATCACGTCCAACCGTTCCTGTCTACCCACTAAACCATATCCTTAAGTACCTCATCTACCCGCTCTTTAAATACATCCAGGGATGGTGACTCCACCACCTCCCTGGGCAGCCTGTGCCAGCTTCTGATGACCCTCTCAGTAAAGAACTTCCTCCTTATCTCTAACCTGAACCTCCCTTGGCACAGCTTGGTGCCGTTTCCCCTTGTTCTATCCCCCATCACCTGGGAGAAGAGACCAGCACCCACCTCTCTACAACTTCCCTTTAGAGGTGGGCAACAAATGTGAGGAAAGGGCTGAGAGACAAATCCTGTGAGGAGTGGCTGAGGACTGTGGGTTTGTCCAGTTTGGAAAGGAGAATGAGGGACAACCCCATTGCTCTTCACAGCTGCCCAAGGAGGGGAAGGTGCAGAGAGGGAGGTGCTGATCCCTTCTTCCTGGGATCCAGCTGCAGGACACGTGGGAATGGCTCAAAGCTGCATCAGGGATGGTTCAGATTTGATATTAGGAAACATTTCTTTATCAAGAGGGTGGTCAAACACTGGAACAGGCTTCCTAGGGGGTTGGTCGATGCCTTAAGCCTGTCAGTGTCTAAGAGACATTTAAACAATGCCCTTAACAACACACTTTAATTTTTGGACAGCCCTGAAGCGGTCAGGCAGTTGGACTGGATGATCACAGAATCAGAGTGTGTTGGGTTGGAAGGGACCTTTAAAGCTCATCCAGTCCAACCTCTGCAGTCAGCAGGGACATTGGCACCACATCAGGTTGCTCACAGCCCCATCAAGCCTGGCCTTGAATATCTCCAGGGATGGGGCCTGCACCACCTCTCTGGGCAACCTGTGCCACTGATCGACCACCTCATGGGGAAGAGCTTTTTCCTCATATCCTAGCTAAATCTGCCCTTTTCCAGTTTAAAACCATTGCCCCTCGTCCTATCACTGCATGACCCCTATTGCTCATCATCTTAGATCCCTTCACTGGAACTATCCTGCACTGGAACTATAATGGTTTTAAACTGGAAGAGGGGAGATTTACACTGGATATTAGGAAGAAATTCTTGACTGTGAGGGTGGTGAGGCCTTGGCCCAGGTTGCCCAGAGAAGCTGTGGGTGTCCCCTCCCTGGCAGTGCCCAAGGCCAGGTTGGCCGGGGCTTGGAGCAGCCTGGGCTGGTGGAGGTGTCCCTGCCCATGGAGGAGTTGGACTGGGGGAGCTTTGAGGTCCCTTCCAACCCAAACCACTCTGTGATCCTATGATAAAGTAATCAGAGTGATAGAGCAATCACATTTCATAGTTGGAGTGTCAACTGATTTTCAAAAAGTGAGGTTCAGGGGATTTATTGAGAGGTTTTCAAAGCTGATAGTAGTAAAAATAATGGAAAGAATAGGTGGCACCTATGTTGATGCGTTGTGTTGTTTCCAGGTTACCATGACAGTCTCCATTTTTTAACAACCCAGAGACTGGAAGCATCCTGCAAGCGTGAAGACTTGAAAAAACATCAAACTCCACTGAGAATTCTCTTTTCCTGGAGGTGTTCAAGGCCAGGTTGGACGGGGCTTGGAGCAGCCTGGGCTGGTGGAGGTGTCCCTGCCCATGGAGGGGTTGGACTGGGGGAGCTTTAAGGTCCCTTCCAACCCAAACCGTGCTGTGATTCTATGATTTACACACACAAGAAGGCACACACTCCCTCTAAACCCTCCAGCCCACCCCCCTGCGCCCCCAGAACGCTGGCATACGTACACTTGTTGAAGTCAAAGGCGAGCTGCAGGCTCACGCAGAGGAAGGCCTGGCAGCTGGAGCACTTGAGCATGTCACACTCCACGTTGGTCCAGCCGTACTTGGCACAAACCAGGGGAGACAGCTCATGGGGTTTGCCCGCCCACTTCAGCGGGTGCTCACGTTAAGGATAAAACCCAATAAATTACAGGTTAAACCCTTTGTCCACAGTTTATTTGGCTAAAGGAGAAAAACAGGCTTTAAGAAAATAGAGCCCGTGCTGAAGCCACGGGGAGGGTGGCAGCAAAGCAGGGTGGGGGGAACGGCTGAAAGCTCAGCATCAGAAAGGATATGGTGAATGTTTCCACTCTGCTGAAGTAGGCTTCCTTGCTTGCAGACTCCAAGGAGAGAGCATCCATTTGCAAAGATCCATTAGCAGATTCTGACCACTCAGATGTGTCCTTCCTAAAACAGAAAACGAGTCAGCAAGCGAAGCATTTGTAACAGCCCAGAGAGATTTCATCAATAAAAAAAAAACACCACACAGACCACTTTCTACCCTCTCATCCTTCAGGCTTACCCTTACATGAACTCTTCCTCCAGAACTCCTACACCCCAACTTTTAAACCTTTTACTCACAAAACAATTTAAAAATACAGAAGGCAACAAAAAAGCCTGCACATAAAACATTTCACGGTGACTGACAGCAGTGCAGGTGGGGATTTGATGTGACAAGGAGGAGATGGGAGCTCGTTCTCTGAGCCCAGTGAAGCCAGGTCAAAGATCACAGCACATTTCTGAATTTGGGGATGCTCCTGGCACCTGGAATGTCAGCTCTGAGCCAGCATCTGCACCCAAACTGCCAGCTCTGCAGTGAGTGCTGCCCTTCAGCCTCATCCCAGCACTCATCCACGGGTCAAAACCCATAAATAGTTGGGTCAAGGGTGGACCATGGTAACCTGGCTTTAACCAGATACCCCCAAAACTCAGCCACCCAGTGCTCCCAGTACATCCCAGCACCCACCAGTTACTCCTGTGTCTCTCAGTGTGTGCCCCTGGGGTGTGAGCCCACGCTTTTCAGATTAGAGCCCCAGCATGGGGCCAGCTCAGCTCGCTCTGGCTGCGAGGATGCCAGAACTCTACACATCACTTACCTGCCCCTGCCCTCCTAGTGTACACCAGTAGCTCCCAGTGCCCCATACTGCCTCCCAGTGTCCTAACATCTCTCACTTTCCACTACTGCCTCCCCACCCTCCTTAATCCCTCCAGTACTCCCAGTGCCACCAGTACTGCCTCCCAGTGCCCCTTAGTCTCTCCAGTACTCCCCGTACCTCCTAGTCCTTCCAGTACTGCCTCCCAGTGCTCCTTAGTCCCTCCAATACAGCCTCCCAGTGCTCCTTAGTCCCTCCAATACTCCCAGTGCCTCCTAGTCCATCCAGTACTGCCTCCCAGTGCTCCTTAGTCC